AACCCAGAAACAGATCCATGTAAATATAATGTACTGATCTTTGACAAAGCGACAAAGATAGTCTTTTCCACAAATGATGGTGGAACTGAGCATTCACAGGCAAAAAAATGAATCTAGACACTGATTTAAAACTCCTCACAAGGGGCACCTGGGTGGCTCAGTGGGTTAAAGCCTCTGCCTTCGGCTCAGGTCATGATCCCAGGGTCCTGGGATCAAGCCCCACATCAGGCTCTCTGCTCAGCGGGGAGCCTGCTTCCTCCTCTCTCTCTGCCTGCCTCTCTGACTACTTGTGATCTCTGTCTGTCAAATAAATAAATAAAAATCTAAAAAAATAAAATAAAATAAAACTCCTCACAAAAATTAACTCAAAATGGATCATAGACCTAAGTGTAAAATGCAAAGCCTAGGATATAACAAAGGAGAAAACCTCAATGACCTTGGATACAGTGATTACTTTTTAGATATAATATCAAAGGTACAATCCTTGAAAGAGTAATTGAGAAGACGAACTCACTATAATTAAAAACTTCTGTTCTGCGACATACAATGTCAAGAATGAAAAGACAAGCCACATATTGGAAGAAAATATTTGCAAAAGATGTGTCTGATAAAGGACTGTTATCTAAGATATACAAAGAACTCAAAAGAATCAGTAAGAAATCAACCCAATTTAGAAATGGGCCAAAGACATTAACAGATAATTCACCAAAGAAGACATACAGCTGGAAAAGAAGCATATGAAAGGATGTTCCACATCATATGTCATCAGGGAAATGAAAATGAAAATGAAACTCCTAACCACCTGGGTGGCTCAGTCAGTTGAGCATCCTACTCTTGGTTTTGGCTCAGGTATGATCTCAGGGTTATGATCTCAGGGTCATGAGATAAGCCCCACCTCAGGCTCCACACACAGTACAAGTCTCTTTGTTCTTCTCCCTCCCCCTGCTTATGCACTCTCTCTCTCAAATAAGTAAATAAAATCTATAAATTAAAAATTAAAAAAATAAAACAAAACAAGATTCACTCCACACCTACAACAATGTCCCAAATCTAAAACACTGACAATACCAAATGCTGGCAACAGGAACTCTGAATCACTGGAGGGTAGAAATAAAAAATGGAACAGCCACTTTGTAAGACAATTTTGGTTTCTTTTTTTCTCTCCCCCATTTAAGTGTGTGTGTGTGTGTGTGTGTGTGTGTGTGCGCGCATATGTGTATGTTTTTAACTGAAGGATAGCTGACATACAAAGTTATAAACAGCTTGGTAGTTTCTTACAAAACAACGTAAGACTCTTGCCATATAATCTAGCATTTGCACTCCCTGATAATTAACCAAAGGAGCTAAAATGTCTGATTTCCACACGAAAGAACTGCATAAGGATGTTTATAGCAGCTTTATTCATAACTGCCAAAACTTGGAAGCCACCAAGATATTCCTCAGTAGATGAAATAAACTCTGTGGCACATTAAGACAATGGAACATTACTCAGTGCTAAAAAGAAATGAGCTAGCAAGCTATGGAAAGTCATGGAGGAAACTTAAATGCATATTAATAATCCAGAGAGGCCAATTGAAGAGGCTAAATTCTGTTTTAGTCCAACTATATGACATATTAAAAGTACAGAGAAAGCAGAAAGATCAGCAGTTGCAGCGAAAGTGGGAAGAGGCAGAATTAGGGTGGTGAAAATACTCTGTATGATATAGTGATGGATACATGTCATTATACATTTGTCTAAACCCATAAACTATATAACACCAGGAGTGATCCCTAATGTAAACCAAGGACTTTGGGTTATTACGATGTATCAATGTAGGTTCATCAATTGTAGCAAACATACTACTCTGGGGAGGGACGCTGACAATGCCAGTGGAAGTGCATGTGCAGGGCAGGGGGTCTATGGAAAATCTCCCTATTTTCCTCTCAATTCGGCTGGAAAATTTATTTTTTTAAAAGATTTTATTTATTTATTTGACACAGAGAGCAAGAAAGAAAGCACAAGCAGGGGGAGCAGCAGACAAGAGGCAGAGGGAGAAGCAGGTTCCCCTATGAGCAAGGAGCTCGATGTAGGGCTCGATTCCAGGCCCCTGGGATCATGATCTGAGCCGAAGGCAGATGCTTAACCAACTGAGTCACCCAGGCACCCCTTGTTGTGAACTTTAAACAGCTCTAAAAACTAAAGTCTTTTTTTAAAAAAGTTGATACAGTATTAAAATAAACACTGGAATTCATTCTGCCATGATTCAACAACTGAACATTTTCCCCTATCAGTTCTATACAAACACTGGTAAATGACACTTTAATCCTAAATAGTTCACCACCACATCTGCTAAGAATAGGGACACTCACCTGTCATAAAACCACACTACTAATATCACACCTAGGAAATACTCCATACCATTTCCTAACAAGTCAGCTACTTTTCTTGGAAGATAAATCTGAGAGACAAGGACTTTTCTATCTTGTTCACATCTAATCTATTTAAGATTTATAGACATCTTCCTAGAAAATCAGCCAATTCATGAGAATTTTAAATCTAATTTAAAAAAGAGGTATATATTATATTTTCTTATGACTTTAAAACTTCTCAATGGTACAATTAGCATACTCCTCTTAATTTATAACATCGAATTATTTTCTTGTAATCTTCTAGTTAGAGGCTGCCTATTGATGTGGAATTTTTCTAAGCCTGAACTCTAAGTGGTAATGTTCAATTCTATTATTTTCCTGTTTTCTAGTACATTAGTTGATCCATTTGATTTTATAATTTCTTTCTTACTACTTTCTTAGTTTGGCTTGTTTTACTTTTACTCTTAGGTTTGTTTTATGATTTTCTTTATAAACTTAAGAGATACTTTCTGACTTCAAACTTTTCCTGTCTTCAGAGGTTACCAAACAGAAAAGGGAAAAGAAAGGAGGGAGCATCCTGCTAAGAAGAGACAGTAAATCTATACATACAAAGTGAATTTTGTTATCATAGTTTGATCTGAGTAGTTAATGCCAGCAAGCAATGTAACAGGGTATCTTTAGGAGCCTACAAAATGTAATTTGTTGTCCTCTGCACTTCTGTGGACTAAAGGGCAGTAAGGTAAATAAACTTGTGGTTTGGAGTTGTACCTGAACGTAAAAATTAGTTCCTTGACATAGAAAACAAATAGCAAAATGACAGAAGTAGGTCATACCTTATCAGTAATTACTTTAAATGGATCAACTCAATCAAACATCAGGGATTGGCAGAATCAAAAAAAAAAAAAAAAAACCATTATTCAACTATATACTATCTCTAAGAGACCCACCTTGAGGAAATTCTGACATAAGGTACAACATGGATGAACTTGAAGACATTACGCTAAATGACATACACTCATCACAAAAAGCAAATACTGTTATGATTCTACTTATATGAGGTACTTAATTAAAATCAAGGGTGCCTGGGTGGCTCAGTCTGTTAAGTGTTTGCCTTCAGCTCAGGTCACAGTCCCAGAGTCGCAGGATGGAGCACCAAGTCCGGTTCCCTGTTCAGCAGGGAGTCTGCTCCTCCTCCTACCCCTCACCCCACTCGTGCTCTCTAAAATAAATACATTTTTTAAAAAATCTTAAAAAAAAAAATCATAGGGGTGCCTGGGTGGCTCAGTCAGATAAACATCTATCTTCAGCTAAGGTCATGATCCCAGAGTCCTGGGATCAAATCCCACAGTGGGGTCCCTGCTCAGTGAGGAGCCTGCTTCTCCCTCTCCTTCTGCTGCTCCCCCTACTTGTGCTTGCTCTCTCTCTGTGTGTGCCAAATAAATAAATAAATCTTTAAAAAAATCATAAAGACAGAATGGTGCTTGCCAGGGGCTAGCAGGAGGGTAGAATGGAGAGAAATTATTTAACAAGTACAAAGTTTCACTCTTGTTAGATGAAAAGAGTTTCTGGAAATGGGATGATGGTGGTGATTTCAAATATATATATAAATCTAAAATCCAATCTAATTTATAATTTTAAAAAACTTTTCAAAAAGAGATAAGCCAAATAATTATGCTGTATCACTGACAAAAAATTTTCTAAAAAACTATGAATTAGGCCATAAAGTCTATGCATTATCAATTTTATAGTATTAATAGTAATGATAATAATTGCCGATTATTGAGAACTAGATACCACATATTCCACTAAGCATTATCTCATATAACCCACATCAAAACCCTGTAAGACAGGTATTACTGTACCCCATTACTATTCATGAAAGCAGACCAAATGACGTATCCACAAGAGAACAAACTATGATATAGTCTTACACTAGAATACTTACAGTACTAAAAATGAATAAACTAAAACTACACACATTGACACAGAGGAATCTCAAAAACCCAAGTCTGTGTGAAAAATGTAATTCTCAGAATATATATACCATATAATTCCGTCTATTAAAGAAATTAAAACTATACTGAACAGCAAGAGAAAATAGTACATGTCGGGATGAAGACACAAAGGACTTCAATGGTATTTGGTAACATTCCATTTTTCAAGTTATTGGGCCAATATATATAGGAATTATTTTTATTTTCTTTATTCTTTATATGTTTCATATATATTTGCTTTACTATGCATCAAATAGTTCACAACTGAAGCAAAATAAGTACTATTAAAAAGAAAATCATTTAAACATAAGCTATTATAGCTCTATGTTCTTAAGTAGATAATATATATCTGAATATGGCTGGACTTCATCTGTACCCCAAGTTATCACCTTCATGAGAAAATACAAATGACAAGGCAAATTTATTCTTATTTTCCTAAGGAGATAATTTCTTTTTTCAATAGATGAGTTTGGAAGTAATCAAAAACTACTGAACCTAATACTTAAATATTAATTTTGAAGAAATAAGACTTTTAACACTTTATCCAAAGACTATTAATGACTCAGCCCATGTCATCAATGCCCAAGTAAGAGATACTAACTCTACATTGCCCTTTCTTTCACATTTTCTCTCTTCATTTCTAGATTTCTTTTATACCTTGGACAAGTCAGTTGTTCTCTCATGAGCAAACAACTTTGCTTTGATCTCTTCTACTTTTCTCCTGTCATCTTCATTTAATTCTGAAATGGAGTAGCCACATTCATGAGGCCAAATTTAATTTCAGATTCCAGGCTGAAAAGAAAATATAAAAACACTTGAGATAATGCAATGCAAAAATGATAATTTTCAGTGATTACAAGAGCACAGAAACCCATCAATACATCCAGCTAAATGCTACCACAATACTTACCAAAATGTGTTCTCAATTATATTACGAACAATTATAAGTTCTTAAGAGCAATCATTTCACTGAAAACTGTGATTTTTAAAAAGCCACATTCTACAGATATTTCTCCAAAGCAGCCCCTTTAACCATGATTTTCAATTATTTTTATCTTAATCTTCTTTCCAATCAGGATGGTCCCTTTCCCTGCCCTATTAGGTCCTGCTACAGTTACTGCTGCTTCCATGAGAGCTGATACTTAAGTTTTCTGGAGTCAGAATATATGTAAGTGATAAAAGGAACAGCATAGGTAGTTCATCTCAAGGGAAAACTTATAAACAAATCAGGGAGGCCTGAACTGTTAGTTGTAAGTTGCTCTCTAAATATATTCCTTACTTTGTCTTAAAAAAACCTTTTTAATGGCATTCTACTATTAGAGACTAATGGGATTGGTAAATATCCTCTTTCAAAGCTCCAACCCAAGTTTTAGTGTAAAATACTTGTTTTTTCTAACGTCGAAAATACGCTCTAAGAATTTTATTAGAAAAGGAGAAATGTGTATATAGTTTTATGATAGTTTGATTTAGAGCAGAGCAAATTGTTTTCATTTTTTTTTTCTGCCTCCAAAATAGAATACTGTAATAGAATAGAATACTGTTTGAGATATAGAATTAAGGAAACAGAAGAACTTCAGGAATCTGAAAACCCAAGCTATCTTCTTACTCTCCTTCAGGCTTTAGAAACTATCTAAGACCCTAAACTTAAACTAGCACTATTAATACTGTGACTTAGTTACACTATTGGTTAAATGGACTTACTCTGGATTACGGTGGGAAATGTAATCATTCTAACAGTCCTACAGGAATATAAATTCAGACTCCACAAATACTTAACTTTAAATAAATTAAAGTATGATGTTTATAAGCTTAACCTCCCTTTATAACAAATTATCAGTTCCTACCTCGTGCCCGTACTCGACATTCCTCTTCTTCTGCATTTCGGAGTATTTGTTTAGCATGATTCAATGACGATTCACATTTCAGAAGGTTTCTGACATGTGCAGCCAGTGAATCTACACTGCTACCACCAGCATCATCACTCTCCAGCACACCTTCTTCCTCTCTACTATCTGTCAAGCTTGTCTTGGGTGAAGCATATGGAAAGAGGTTTAGAAGAACATCAGAAACTGACTCCAATGAATTACTGTCCCACGAGCAGGTGCTGGCATCACTACTTGAATCACTTTTAATGATAGTCATCATAGGTATAACAATTTTATTCCCAGTGGTTCCACTATACCCTTCAGGCTCAGATCTCATTACAGATTTGGCTGCTCTATATTGCCGAAGGGTTTCATCTACTGCCACTCTGGCTTTGCTTTCTGCTTCCCGTAGAGGACTTCTAACTGTAGTTGAACTAATGAACTCCCAATTCTCAATGCCTCTCTGGCATTTCAGATTTGCCTGGGTGCTAATATCCTTCTGTATGCACTTGTTGCTTGGGCTTTCTTCTGTAAATGGCAGACTCTGAGGCAAATCACCATTAGGTTCATCAGCTGTGAGGGGTTCTTTGAAGCAAACCACCTTCTTAGATTGTATAAATGAAATATCATTAACATCTCTGAAAGGGACAAGGGGAGCAGAAAAATTGCATCGTTTCAGTGCTATATTTTCTGCCTCCATTAAAAGGGTCCGAATCTCTCTAAGCGTTTTGGAACCACTGCTTGTATCTGGAATTTCCTCAGACCCAACATCTTCAAAACCTGAAGATTCTGGTTTACTTATTACAACTCTACCATCAGTCTGAGAACTTAAAGGCATATTGTTTGAGATAACACTGGAGTTTGAAGAATCCAAATTATCTATTAGCATTTGAACATGGTCTGAAACAAGTTTCTGCTTCTCACTATGTGAATAAGTTCCAGAGGTAACTGTTGATAACCCAGTAATCTGATCAACTTGCCCAACACCCCCTGAGAACATCAGAGCATCTTGCATTACATGTCTATCTGGAAAATTCTGTTGATAGAATATATTTGGTTTCTGTCTGTGTGAAAAGGAACTAGAAGGAACTGTTGGTGACAGACTTTTCTGGTCAGCTAGTACAGGAATTGTTGAAACCTTCAGTGCATCTTCAGCTAGATGTTTGTCTGGCAATTCCTGTGGGTAGAAATTATTAGATTTCTCTCTGTGGGAATAGGAACTAGAAAGAGGTATTGGTATCCCAGAGTTCGCATCAGTTGGTTCAGAGATAGGTGAAATTTTCAAAATATCCTCACTACAATGTCTATCTGGCAGTTCTTGTTGAAAGAAAATACTGGGCTTTACTCTCTGAGAATAGGAATTACGAAAAACTGTCAGTAATGGAGTTGTGTGGTTATCTGGTCCAATCACAGCTGAAATTTTGGGCTTTTCTCCTTGTGAGTAGGAACTAAGGGGAGCTGTTAGTAACTCAGTGTTTTGGTCATCTGGTAAAGTCACAGGTGAAAGCTTGAGTTTCTCTTTATGTGAGCAAGAGCTAGAAGGTCCTACTGGTATCTCAGTCTTCTGATCAGCAGGTCCAGGAAGAGCAAAAATCTTTAAAGCTTCTTCAGTAACAGCTGGTAACTCCTGCTGTTTAAAAATACCATCCTTCTCTCTATATGAGTAGGAACTAGAGGGAATTATATGTATCCCAGTCTTCTGGTCACCTGGTCCAGAAACAGCTGAAACTTTCAGAGCTTCTTCAGTAACACCTGGCGACTCCCTCTGGTAAGAAAAGATGGGGCTCTCTCTATGTGAATAGGAAGCAGAGGACCCAAATCGTATCCCAGTCTTCTGGTCAGCAGACCCAGGAGCCCCTAAAATTTTTACAATACCTTCATTAGGATCTGGCAACTCCTGCTGGTAAGAAATGATGGGCTTCTCTCTATGTGAGTAAGGAGTAGAGGTTACTACTGGTATTCCAGTCTTCTGGTCACCTAGTCCGGGCACCCTGAAAACATTTAAAGATGCTTCAGTAATATCTGGAAACTCTTGCTGATAAATGATGGGCTTCTCTCTATGTGAATAAGAAGCCGAGGTAACTGTTGGTTTTCTGGTCTTCTGATCACCTGGTCCAGAAACAGCTGAAATTTTCAGAGCTTCTACAGCCAGCTGATCGTCTGACAAGGGTTGTTGGTACAAAATACTGGGCTTCTCTCTATGAGAGTAAGAAACAGAAGATACTGTTGGTATCCCAGTCTCCTGATCAGCTGGTCCAGGAGAAGGTGAAACATTCAGAGCCTCTTCAGTGAGAGGTCTATCCGATAAGGCCTGCTGATAGAAAATAATGGGCTTCTCTCCAAGTGAGTAGGAACTTGAAGGTACCGTTGGTATCCCAGTCTTCTGATCACTTGTTCCAGAAACAGCTGAAACTTTCAGAGTCTCTTCAGTTAGATGACTGCCTGATAACTCCTGCTGGTAAAAAATATTAGACTTCTCTCTGTTTGAGTAGGAACTAGAAGGTTCTGCTGTTAACCCAGTCTTCTGATCAGTTGGTCCAGGAACAGCTGAAACTTTCAGAGCCTCCTGAGGTACCTGGCCATCTATCAAGCTCTGTGGGTAGAAAATGATGGGCTTCTCTCTAGGTGAGTAGGAACTAGAAGGTTCTGATGGCAACCCAATCTTCTGATCAACTAGTCCAGGAATAGCTGAAACTTTCAGAGCCTCCTGAGACACCCGACTATCTGTCAAGCCTTGTGAGTAGAAAATAATGGGCTTCTCTCTATATGAGTGGGAACTGGAAGGTACTGATGGCAACCCAGTCTTCTGGTCAGGTGGTCCAAGAACAGCTGAAACTTTCAGAACCTCCTGAGGTAACTGACTATCTGCCAAGCCCTGAGGGTAGAAAATAATGGGCTTCTCTCTATAAGAGTAGGAACTGGAAGGTTCTGATGGCAACCCAGTCTTCTGGTCAGCTGGTCCAGGAATCGCTGAAACTTTCAGAGGCTCCTGGGATACCTGACTGTCTGCCAAGCCCTCTGGGTAGAAAATAATGGGCTTCTCCCGCGGTGAATAGGAACTGGAAGGTTCTGATGGCAACCCAGTCTTCTGGTCAGCTGGTCCAGGAATCGCTGAAACTTTCAGAGGCTCCTGAGATATCGGACTGTGTGTTAAGCCCTGGGGGCAGAAAATAATGGGCTTTTCCCTACATGAGTAGGAACTGGAAGGTTCTGATGGCAACCCAGTCTTCTGGTCAGCTGGTGCAGGAATAGCTAAAACTTTCAGATCCTCCTGGGATACCTGACTGTCTGCCAAGCCCTCTGGGTAGAAAATAATGGGCTTCTCCCACGGTGAATAGGAACTGGAAGGTTCTGATGGCAACCCAGTCTTCTGACCAGCTGGTCCAGGAATAGCTGAAACTTTCAGAGCCTCCTGAGGCACCTGGCCATCTGTCAAGCCCTGTGGGTAGAAAATAATGGGCTTCTCCCGAGGTGAATAGGAACTGGAAGGTTCTGATGGCAACCCAATCTTTTGGTCAGTTGGTCCAGGAACAGCTGAAACTTTCAGAGCCTCCTGAGATACCAGACAGTCTGTCAAGCCCTCTGGGTAGAAAATAATGGGCTTCTCCCACGGGGAGTAGGAACTAGAAGGTTCTGGTGTCAACCCAGTCTTCTGGTGAGCTGGTCCAGGAATAGCTGAAACCTTCAGAGTCTCCTGAGGTACCTGGCCATCTATCAAGCCCTGTGGGTAGAAAATAACGGGCTTCTCTCTAGCCGAGTAGGAACTAGAAGGTTCCGATGGCAACCCAGTCTTCTGGTCAGCTGGTCCAGGAATAGCTGAAATTTTCAGAGCCTCTTCAAGTAACTGACTGCCAGGCAAGGCCTGATGGGAAAAAATAATGGGCTTCTCTTGTGGTGAGTAGGAACTAGAAGGTTCTGGTGTCAACCCAGGCTTCTGGTCAGTTGGTCCAAGAACAGATGAAACTTTCAGAACCTCTTGAGGTACCTGGCCATCTGTCAAGCCCTGTGGGTAGAAAATAATGGGCTTCTCTCTAGCCGAGTAGGAACTAGAAGGTTCTGATGGCAACCCAGTCTTCTGGTCAGCTGGTCCAGGAACAACTGAAACTTTCAGAGCCTCTTCAAGTAACTGACTGCCAGGCAAGGCCTGAGGGGAAAAAATAACGGGCTTCTCTTGTGGTGAGTAGGAACTAGAAGGTTCTGGTGTCAACCCAGTCTTCCGGTCAGTTGGTCCAGGAACAGTTGAAACTTTCAGAATCTCTTGAGGTACCTGGCCGTCTGTCAAGTCCTGTGGGTATAAAGTAATGGGCTTCTCTCTAGGTGAGTCAGAACTAGAAAGTTCTGATGGCAACCCAGTCTTCTGGTCAGTTGATCCAGGAACAGCTGAAACTTTCAGAGCCTCCTGAGACACCTGGCTGTCTGTCAAGTCCTGTGGGTATAAAGTAATGGGCTTCTCTCTAGGTGCGTAGGAACTAGAAGGTTCTAATGGCAACCCAGTCTTCTGGTCAGCTGATACAGAAACAGCTGAAATATTCAGAGCCTCTTCAAGTAACTGGCTGCCTGGCAAGGCCTGAGGGGAAAAAATGGGCTTCTCCTTAGATGAGTAGGAAGTAGAGGATACTGTTGATTTTCCAGTCTTCCAGTCAGCTGATACAGATATGGCTGAAGCTTTCAGAGCCTCTTCAGTGCAATGAGTATCTGTCAAGCCCTGAGGGTAGAAAATAATGGGTTTCTCTCTATGTGAGGAGGAAGGAGAGGGAACTACTGGTATTCCAGTCTTCTGGTCAGTGGGTTCAGAAACACCTGTAACTTTTAGAGCTTCTTCAGGCAGATGACTGTCTGGCAAGCTCTGTGGGTAGAAAATAAAGGGCTTTTCTACATCCGAGTAAGAAGAAGTTATTGTTGATATCTCGGTCTTCTGGTCAGTAGGTTCAGGAACAGGTGAAACTTTCTGAGCCTGTTCAGTTAGAGAACTGTCTGTCAACTCCTGTTCGTAAAAAATATTGTGCTTCTCTCTATGTGAGTAGAAATTAGAAGCTTCTGATAGTAACCCACTATTTTTTTCAGCTGGTTCAGAAGCAACTGAAACTTTCAGAGCCTCTTCAGATTGATGACTGCTTGGTAAGACCTTCTGGTAGAAAATACCAGGCTTCTCTCTATGTGAGTAGGAACTAGAGGATACTGCTGGTATCCCAGTCTTCTGGTCACCTGGCCTAGGAGCAGATGAAGCTTTCAGAGCCTCTTCAGTTAGAGAACTATCTGGTAATACCTGCTGATAGAAAACATTGGGCTTCTCGCCAAGAGAGTAGGGCCTAGAGGGCACTACTGGTATCCCAGTATCCTGGTCAGCTGGTCCAGGAACAGATGGAACTTTCTGAGCCTGTTCAATTAGATGACTATCTGGCAACTCCTGTTTGTAGAAAATACTGGACTTCTCTCTACGTGAGAGGAAAGTAGAGGTTGGTATCCCAATCTTCTGCTCAGTGGATCCAGGAGCAGAAAATTTCAGAGCCTGTTCAGTTAGATGACTTTCTGGCAATGTCTGTTGATAGAAAATAGGGGGCCTCTCTCTGTGTGAGTAAGAAGTAGAGGGTATCCTAGTCTTCTGGTCAGCTGGTTCAGGAAGAGCCACAATTTTCTGAGTCTGTTCAATTAAATGACTATCTGGCAAGACCTGTTGGTAAAAGATATCGGGCTTCTCTCCAAGTGGGTAGGAATGTGAAGATAATGTAGGTATCCCAGTGTTTTGATCAGCTGGCCCAGGAACAAATGAAACTTTCAGAACCTGTTTAGTTAGATGACCATCTGACAACTGTTGCTGGGAGAAAATAATGTGCTTCTCTCTTCGTGAATAGGAACTAGAAGGAACTATTGTCTTTTCAGTCCCCTGGTCAGCAGATACAGGAACAGCTGAAATTTTCAGAGTCTCTTCAGTTAGATGACTGTCTGGCAAGGTCTGAGGGTAAAATACTATGTTTCTCTCCACGTGAGTAAGAACTTGGAAGGACAGTAGGTATGCCACTCTTCTGGACAGGAGAACCAGGAACACCCGAAACTTTTACAGTCTCTTCAGTGAGATGATTGTCTGGCGGTGCCTGCTGGTAGAAGATATTATGCTTCTCTCTACGTGAGTAGGAACTTGGAAGGACAGCAGGTATGCTAGTCTTCTGGTCAGAAGGATGAAGAACACCCAAAACTTTCAGAGCCTCCTCAGTTAGATGACTGTCTGGCGGGGCCTGTTGGTAGAAGACATTATGCTTCTCTCCATGTGAGTAGGAGCTTGGAAGGACTGTAGGTATGCCACCCTTCTGCACAGCAGGACCAGGAACAGCCAAAACTTTTAGAGCCTCTTCAGTTAGATGACTGTCTGGTAAGGCTTGTGGGTAGAAAATATTGGGCTTCCCTCTTTGTGAGTAGGAACTAGAGGGTACTGTTGATATCCCAGTCTTCTGGTCAGCTAGTTCACTAACAGCTGAAAGTTTTAGAGTCTCTTCACTTATCTTACTATCTACCGGTGCCTGCTGGTTGAGTGTATCAGTATGCTGACCAACAGTATTCTCTTGAGGAGACCTTAAAGCCAACTGAGGAAAGTCCTCGGGGAACAAGGATAAAAGAGATCCAGTATCTGAATCTCCAGCAGTAGCAGTGATGCCTGGTTTCGAGTTGGAATGAGTAACTTCAGGTATGCCTCCTTTAGAAGTATCTCCTAAAAAAAGAGACTTATTAATACTAATATGTTTTTTAATTAAGAAATATTTCTTTTATGCATAAAAGAAATAAAGCCTTCCTTCCTTTGACCTTTACACTTCTAGTAAAGAATCCTAAGAAAAGTCATCAAAGGAGACAAATATTTACAAAGATATTAATTATAAAGCCATTTACAACAGCAAACTAATGTAGACATAATTTAAATATTCAACGATAGAGTAATGTTTAAAAATAGCAGCATATCCATTTGATATGATAGGTGGATCTTTATTAAAATTGGGATTTTTAAAGAATTTTTTTAAAAGATTTTATTTATGTATTTGACAGACAAAGAGATCACAAGTAGGCAGAGAGGCAGGCAGAGAGAGAGGGGAGGAAGCAGGGTCCCTGCTGAGCAGAGAGCCCGATGAGGGGCTCGATCCCAGGACCCTGAGATCATGACCTGAGCCCAAGGCAGAGGCTTTAACCCACTGAGCCACCCAGGCGCCCCGGATTTTTAAAGAATTTTAACGTGATGGGAAAATGCTATCCAGTCTGGATTTTAATTTCACCCTAGTTACAACCTAATAAGTTAGCCTGTTATTGTGCCATGTATGCCATTAAAAGACATGCGACTCCTCAATCAGAGACAAAATACTTCATTCCATGGCATAGCAAAGGATCTTCAACTTATTTTCATGGGTTCCCCTATCCCTTGAGTCTTACAATGGCAATGCAATATGGCCCAGATGGATGCTATGCAAGCAGTGGGTTTTAAATGATTCTTCTAGTAAATGCGCCTTCAGAAAGATATGTTTGTTAACTATATGAAACTATAAAGTGTGTAAAGATTACACTAAAGATTCTGAACTTAACTCTAAATGGCATGAGTTGATAAATTGGAACTGACCTATACTGCAGAAATACAGATTCAAGATGAGTAGGAACAGAATGCAAAAGCATAAGTAGTATTATCTAACAGAACTTTTTGCAACAACAGAAATTTCTGTATTTGTACTGTCTAATCCAGTACTTCTAAATCTAAATGTCAGTGGGAAGTAAATGACTGCAATAGAAATGATAAGATTTGACAAGATATGCATTCATCCATTTGTTCATTCAAAAAATAATTAATGTTTACTATGTGCCAGTCACAGTTCTAGATATAGGAAATAGGGCAATAAACAGACAAAGTTTACACTCTAATTCTGCCTTACAAAGCTTACATTCTAATAGTAGGAAGCAGACAAAAATTGATAAAACATATGGGATGTTAGATGATGGCAAAATGGTTGATATATACAAGTATTATCTATACAGCTCTTCCTCAACTTACAATGGAGTTACATCCCGATAAGCCCATCATAAGATGAAAACATGTAAGTTAAAAATACATATAATAATCTCACATACGAAATATCACAGCTTAGCCTCACCTAACTTAAACATGCTCAGAACATTTACACTAGCCAAAAATTGGGCAAAATTACCTAACACAAAGACTATTTGATAATAAAATGTTAAGTATCTTGTTACTGAATACTATACTAAAAGCAAAAAACAGAATGGCTGTATGGGTAGAGAATCGTTGTAAGTGTATCAGGTTTTTACCATTATAATCATGTGGCTGACTGGGAGTTGTGGCTCACGGCTGCTACCCAACATCACAAAAGAATATCATACCACATATGGCTAGCCTAAGAAAATGGCAAAATTCATAAATTGGAGTATGGTTTCTACTGAATGCACATGATAAAGATGAAAATCCTACATCAGAGCATCCTAAGCTGGGGACCTTCAGCACTTTACACATAAAGAAATTAAGTTTCAAAGATGAAGATATAAGATTGCTTCTCAATATGGAGATCTTACTAACTTGCAGATTCTGATTCAATAAGTCTACGGTGGGGGCGCCTGGGTGGCTCAGTGGGTTAAAGCCTCTGACTTCAGCTCAGGTCATGATTCCAGGGTCCTGGGATAGAGCCCTGCATTGGGCTCTCTGTCAGCGGGAAGCCTGCTTCCCTTCCTCTCTCTCTCTGCCTGCCTCTCTGTCTACTTGTGATCTCTATCTGTCAAATAAATAAATAAAATTTTTTAAAAAATTAGGTCTAGAGTGGGATCTGATATTTTGCATTTCTAACAAAATCCCTAGTGATGTCCCATACTTTTGGTCCTCAGACTACATTTTGATTGGTAAAGAAATACAACTTCTCCAGAGTTCTACAGTAAAAGACAAAAACAGGTACTTTAACCTTTTAATTCTAACTCCAAATTCTGAGCTCTTTTTACTGAATTATTAGTTACTGCTATTCTAAACTCAATGATGAGCTTCAAAAAAGTAACTAAATATAGAATTAAATGGGTTGAGGAGTGAATTATAAGGTAAGGAAGTACATTATCAAGTATTAACTCTTCAGGAAAACTAAAGGAGAAGGGATGAATGTAATCTGCACAGTAACTTGAAAAGGAATAGAAGTTATGGAAAGTTATGGAAAGTGAGAAAAAAGGACTCAAGAAATTAATAAAGCAGGACAGATTAACAAAGTGAACAACAAATGGCTCACAGAGGAAATCAAAAGAGAAATCAAAAATACCCTTGGGGTTATGGACATTGGGGAGGGTATGTGCTATGGTGAGTGCTGTGAAGTGTGTAAACCTGGCGATTCACAGACCTGTACCCTTGGGGCTAATAATACATTATATTTTAATTAAAAAAAAACCCTGAAAAAATGAAAATGGAAATACAATATACCAAAACTTATGGGGTACAGTTATAGCAGTTCTAAAAGGGAAGTCCATAATGATAAATACCTACATCAAGAAATAAGAGGATCTCAAATGAACAACCTAACTTTACATCTTAAAGAACCAGAAAGAGAACAAACAAAGCCCAAAGCCAGTAGAAGGAAGAAAACATAAACCAGAGCAAAAACAAATGAAGGAGAAACTAAAAGGACAATAGAAAAGAAAAAAGATCAATGAAACAAAGATCTGATTCTTTTAAAAGATAAATAAACTGACAAATCGTTAGCTAAAATCACCACCACCGCCACCCAAAGAAACCCAGAGAGGACACAAATAATAAAATACAAAAATGGAAAAGGAAATATTGCAACTGATATCACAGAAATATAAAAGATCATAAAAGACTTTCTACAAATAATTTTACATCAACAAATTTTACAATCTAGAAGAAACATATAACCTACAGGACTGGATCATGAAGAAATAGGAAATGTGATTAGACCAATTACTAGTAAGGAGATTGAATCACTAATCAGAAGTGTCCCAACAGGGGTGCCTGGGTGGCTCAGTGGGTTAAAGCCTCTGCCTTCGGCTCGGGTCATGATCCCAGGGTCCTGGGATCAAGCCCCACATCGGATTCACTGCTCAGCAGGGAGCCTGCTTCCTCCTCTCTCTCTGCCTACTTGTGATCTGTGTCAGATAAATAAATAAATAAATCTTTTAAAAAAAAAAAAGTGTCCCAACAAATCAAACTCTAGAACCAGATGGCTTCACTGGTGAATATTCTACTGAATATTCAAATAATTTACACCAAAATACCTCAAATTCTTTCAAAAAATAAAAGGGAACACTTCCAAACTCATTTTATAAAGCCAGCATTACTCTAATACCAAAACCAAACAAGGAAATTACAAAGAAGTAAAATTATAAGTCAATGCCCCTAATGAACAGAGATACAAAAATCTTCAACAAAATATTAGCAGACTGAATTCAACAATACTTTAAAAAAATCATATAACATTATTAAGTGGGCTTTATTTCAGGAATGCAAGGACAGCTCAATATCTGCACATCAATCAAAATGATACACCAGTATTAACAATGAAGGATAACAATCATGTGATCAGTTCAGTGGATGTAGAAAAAGCAACTGACAAAACTCAACATCCATTCACAATAAAAACTCTCAATAAAGGGGGTGTTGAGGGAACATACCTTAATATTACGAAGGCCATATATAAAAAGCCCACAGCTAACATTACCCTCAACAGTGAAAAGGTGAAAGCTTTTCCTCTAAGATCAGGAACAAGATAAGGGTTCCCACCCTCACCATTTTTATTCAACATAGTATTGGAAATCCTAGCCAGAGCAATCAGGCAAGAAAAGCGGGGGTGGGGGGGTGGGGGGGGGGAGTGGAGAGAAAGGCATCCAAATAGGCAAGGAAGAAGTAAAACTGTCTCTGTTTACAGATGACATGGTATTACAAATGGAAACTCCTAAAGACTCGACCAAAAAACTGTCAGAACTAATAAATTTGGTAAAGTCGCAGGATACAAAATTAACATATAAAAATCAGTTATGCTTTTATACACTAATAAAGAACTATTAGAAAAGTCAAGAACACAATCCCATTTACAATTACATTAAAAAAAACCGCTAAGAATAAATTTAACAAGGGGGTAAAGATCTGTAAAAGACATTGATGAAAGAAGTGGAAAAAGACTCAAATAAATGGAAAGATAATTTACACATCTGAGAAGCTCAATGAACTCAATGTAGGATAAACACAGAGATCCACACAACATCATAATCAAAATGTTGAAAGACTGAGTATCTTGAAAGCAACAGGAGAAAACAAATCAATACAAGGCAATGTTAATAAGATCAATAGTTGATTTCTCATCAGAAACAATAAAGGCCAGAAGACCATGGAAAGATATATTCAGAGTGCTAAAACAAAAAAGATTATCAGGGGTGCCTAGGTGGCTCAGGGTTAAGCCTCTGCCTTCAGCTCCAGGTCATGATCTCAGGGTCCTGGGATCAAGCCCCGCATCAGGCTCTCTGCTCAGCAGGGAGGTTGCCTCCCCCCACCCCCTCCTGTCTGTCTACTTGTGATCTGTCAAATAAATAAATCAAATCTTAAAAAAAAAAAAATTATCAACCAAACATTATAAATTCAACAAAACTTCCAAAAGGATGAAATAAAAACATTCCAGGTATATAAAAACTGAGAGAATCTGTTGGTAGCAGAACCATCACACAAGAAATACTAAA